GAACAAGGTGGGGATGGTAGCAATGACCTGAATAGCACCGTATCCAAGAGAAGCATACAAGGCCTGAACAGCAGTGTAGCCAGCGTTTCGGAAGATGGTGGAGCTGTAGAACGAAATGACTGAGATTGTTAGTGATTGAAGCATCAAATAGATAGTACGACTCACTGTTGATACCGCACATCTGCTGCGCAATCATGACAGTAGAAGCACCATAGTTCGCGCGCCTAATGCGAGGCACAGCAAAGCAATCCCACAAACGCTGGAAATAACCTGCACCCCTCGCAACAGTCAACTCCTCCTCATAGATAATCCACGAGTAGTAAAAGTCCCTGGCAGCAATGATATCATGCGCCCTGAGCCTCTGCATCGATCTAAAGCCCTTGGCATGCTTCCCATGCTTCATCAGCCAACGGGGCGACTCGGGGCAGAAGAAGATACCAATTCCCAGGAGGAACGAGGGGATGAAGGCAGAGCCGAGCTGCAGGCGCCAGGAGATCCTGCCGGTGTCCTTGACGATGACGTTGGCGCAGAAGCCGAGGAAGATGCCGACGACGACCCAGAGCTGCCAGAACATGACGAGGGCGCCGCGGACGCGGGCGGGCGCCATCTCGGCCGAGTAGATGGGGACGGTGGCGTTTTTGGCGCCGATGCCGATGCCCATCACGAAGCGCACGGCGAAGAGCTCTTGCCAGGAGTGGGTGAAGCCGGAGGCGATGGGGGTTGCGGTGAGACAGCATGCCGTGATGAAGATTTCACCGCGACGACCGAAGTAGTGGTTCAGCGGATCAACGATGAAAGCGCCACTGTCCTCATTAGCATTGCCAGCCAAACTCAAGCGTATGAATAGTAGTCAGTGAACTTACATCAAACCAGCAGTCAAGAAAATAATCGAGTTGACCAGTCCAACAATCCACTGATCACGAACACTATTCTCCTCATCAAGCCCGAATTCCTGAGGAAACGACAAATTGGCACCGTTGGAACCAGTCTGATCCCAACCCTGAGTCGCAGCGCCAATGGCACACAGGGAGATAGAGTACCAGAGCATCTTTGGGCCGTGCCATTTATGATCGCGCTCGTACTCGAGGGCCTGACGCTCATCTTCCTTGAGCTCCTTGACCATGTTGAACTGCTCTTGGTCACGGGCGACGAGGGCGGCGCGGGAGAAGAGCTCTGCGTGTTCGGACATGCCGTGAGTTTCGGCAAAGACACGCGCATCGTGGGCTGCTTGTTCAGGCGTGACACGCTGTAAAAATGAATGTCAGTGATTGAAGATGAAAGTATACATCAATTGAAGTGATTAGATCAATTGAGTTGGGGTCATCGCCGAGCTTCTTGGCGATTTGGCTAAGAAGGCTCGGCGATGGGCCAAGAGATCGCCAAGCGTACCTTGAGTGGATTCTCAACGATGTTCAAGGCAGTCGAGCCACGACGACCTGTAGTAGCAGGCGGTACATTGCCGAGACCATTCTTCTCATTGTGAGATGCCTCAGGGACATCAGGGCCCAATTCCTTGTTATCCATTGTAAGAATGAGTCTTGATGGTAAAGATGAAGGAAGAAAGTGTGAAGGACTGAGGAGCCAAGAAAAGAAAAGACAGGGAGGCCAAGGGTAGTGTTAAATAACTTGGCAATTGAATGCAATGCGGGTGAGACCTGGGGCGGATGAGTTTGGATAGGATCATCGCTCATCCCCGGTTCATCCCCATCTTGTGAGCCAGTCTAAGGATGAGGAGGGATGGTGGGCGGGCGTTTAAGCGTATCCACCACATGCACCTTTGGATATATCTGACCACCAGAATTTGGAGATGGCATTTGAGAAAATGTGGAAACGTTAAGGTTATTGTCTCGGAATGAACCAGGGGGCTCTTGTCTTTATTCTCTTGTATGGGGCTACACTGAATGCTCCGATGTTGAACACGGGAGTTGACAGGGTAACTTTCCATTCCACGGGTGATTCCATCTTGCACAGTATCCGTATCTCAAATCACAATTAAAGCCAATGTCGAAGAGGACTGTCAATGTCTTGAATGTCTGGTATGAGAGCAGTATCAACGGCAACGATCTCAAGCTCACCTCCTCTTTTTCCCCATGGAGATCCCTCACAAAAATTGGAGAAGCTCTCTCCGCTGCAACGAATCATCTCGATGTCTCCACGCGCTAGCAAAAAGCCGCTGAACACCTTGAAATTTGGGGTCTGGGGGGATATTTGGCGATACGTACCGATTAATTCGGCTGCCTAAACGTCATCGGATAAACGGCACATATGACGTAGTGGAGACACTTGCCAAGGCATCCATATTCTTGCCCTTCCAAGTGGAGTTATCCTCCAGGCATCCAAATAAAAAATACAGAACTCCGTGCTAGTGCTCCCATTTAGAAGGATTTATTGCTTTATGATCTGAGAATGAAAATATCCCTCAAGTCTAGAAGCTCGTAGCATGAAAAAGTTTGATCAATCTGCCGTTGGGAAGAAAAACTTGCTCTTGGTTACAATATGTGCAGTGTAACATCACCGAGACATGGCGCTAAACTGTAATCAAAGAGGATGAGACCATCGACGCTCGTTTTTGCCGTTTTGAGAGCGTTGGTGCGACGGTGGAATAAGGGTGCCTAAACGGAACGATCGGACTTGTTTGGGTCTTGGCTTGTGCAATTCGTTTCTTCGGGACCGATCTTGATGAGAGGGAGAGCGTTGGTCGAGATGGCGGGGATTTAGACTGGTTCTATTGTTTGTTAGAATGCGGAGATGGAATGAATAACGCTTGATCAACACATTTCAATTCATTAGTGCTCATTAACGGGCGTTGATCGCGGCTGTCATCTGACTCTTTGGTGTTTGGTCACTTAATTGGACAAACACACACTCCATCAATGCTCCACGATCATCATCCCCGGATTCTCGCTGATCGATGACCCCCAGATTATCAACACGATACTCTCAGACATTTACGATCGTCGCCAGGATACCAATACCACATATACTATTGTAATACTTGATCTTGCATTGTCTCATGTCAAAAGATCAGGCAGCCGAGTTGTATCAGACCCTTTACACCGTAACCTTAAATTAAGCTTATGGGTATAAAGTGGCTGCACCCTCCAGCCGCACCGACAATCACACAACGCCTTCGCGGTAACTTCTTGGAGGAATAACTGAGGGCATCGTCAAAGAAACGACGTCACCGGGAATACTGCCACTTTTACGCCCGCCTTTCATTGTTGTTTGATCTGTCACGCATGCTTGGCAGAGTCTCCACTACGTCATATTCTCGCTATTATTCGCGCTTACATCCTCGTGAGCAAAATCCAGGTCCGACATGAGGGGAACCTGGGGTAATCGCGTGAGCACTAGACCTCATTGAATCATGAGTGTCAAGTGCGGCTTTTGTCTGGGAGATATTTCTGTGTCTGGCCTCAATTCCCTATAGAGAGGGGACATTTCAGAACAACTCGTCAACAGGGTAGGTAACTGAAAAACAACATCATTAAATCATTACATGATGAACATAAAGGATAAAGAAGACTTTTATAACTGTCGCGGCAATTTGAAAGGTGCCTTCAGCTGTCTTTCTTCTATATAATTAATTGACTAACTTATCTTTGTCGGTGGGATACTGGTAATATACTCGGTTCCCGTGCGCTTCTGAAATGAACACTTCTGTCAGAGCAGTGGAGACTATGAATGCTTTATAATGTTTGTACTGCTTATAGAGCATGTATGAATTGAAGCTAGGGCTCATATGGAAGGAACTTACTTATCTTTACACGAGACGAGACTACATCAGTCAAGATCAAGCCGTGCATCTTATGGAGATGAAGCAGCAGGATTGCTTACTCAGATCCCTAGATATCGGAAACTTATGTGATTCTGCAAGGCCGTAAGCGGATACATCGCGGACATATCGGAAATTGTTATATATAAGAAGCTTCACTACCTAGCGTATGTACTTGGATCTACTGACCATAGAAACATATTTATCTCAGAACTTGTCACTACTCCCATCAGCCACATCATGAATGCCCCACAGTCCGACCAAACTTTCTCGCCCAAGCAGGCCTTGACGCCTACACCAGAGCTCTACGGCGAGATCGTCGGTGATGCCATGGAACGTCTTGCTGCTGCATCTCTGTCCTGGACGGAGCCCTTCGGTCACTCCAAAGTCATCTTTCACGATGTCGGTTGTGGGCTTGGAGCCGGTACCGAAGCCATCATGAGTCTGAAGCAAGACAATATTGTCATAAAAGGCACCGATATTAACGAGGACGTCTTGGAGTTATACCGCCAAAACATAGCTGCGAATAAATGGCCTGCCGAGGCTCTCAAGATGGACGCATCGAAACTCGATTTCCCAGATGAGACGTTCACTCACTGCATTGGCAATGCGCTGCTATTCGTTCTTAAAAATGACGGCGTAGACGCGATTAAAGAGATGCACCGTACCTTGAAACCCGGCGGCGTTGCCATTCTCAACTCTTGGGCGCACACGCCAACTATTCCCGCGATTCATGCAGCAGCGAAAAAGACTCGCCCGGCTGGCACGCCTCTGCCCCGAGCAGGGCTAGATAAATGGGAAGACAAAGACTTTTCGCGGGATGTTATCATCAAAGGGGGCTTCAAACCAGAAAAGGTGAAATTCATGCAGAAGGATGTTCATGTTACTATCGGGGATCTTAAGCGTTTTGCGACAATGATATGGAGCTTTATTGGAGGGACTTCGAAGGCGGGGTGGCTTGAGTCGGATGAGGAGAACTGGGATGCAGCTGTTGATGCAGTCGTGAAGGCGCTGACTCAGACAGAAGGGTATGAGAAGCTTGAGGAGGGGAAGAATAAGATCATGTTTCAGGCTCATGTTGCCATTGCGACCAAGTAGGTCAAGGGGAGCCAAGATTTCACTGACAGATCAACTACAGTCGTCCGACTAGGAAAGAAGCAGCAACAACGATTTAGATGAGCCACTCGCTGGCAAAGATAGTTTTGAGAATAGCTTTTATATGTAATTAATTCTCCCTATTCGCAAAAGCGCCCGTGTCTCTTCTGATCTCCTCCTTGCCTTGAGTACCCCCACGACCGCCAGGCTTTCCAGTTACAGACTGGGGAATATCATGGCCCGTTGCGCTGATTCCCTCACCTACCCCAAATTCTCGACCTTCGGAAGCTGAAAGGACAGCGTTGTCTGCTGCACCAGCTAGGTCGGATGAGCCGAGACCGCCTGCGGCCTCACCGTCGCGCTGATGAGGGTTCGGGACGGACTTGATTGTGTTTTGCTTGCCGGCATCGCCAGGAACTGAAGCTCATATCAGTATCGTGAGTGAATACGATTCGAGGGGATGGGACTAACTGGATGTGCCGTCCTTGGCCATGTCGAAGAGATCGCCGCCTTTCTTGGAATCAGACATATTGTAATTTGACAACTTGGGGTTTCTTAGAGTCTTTGCTTATGGTGAGTAATAGCAAAGGTTGGAATGAGCTTAGATAAAACATAGAGAAGAGAAATGGTATTTATGGCAGTGATGCTATCAAGGTCCTCTCATGATGTCATGATTTCATTCTCAGCACTTTCGTCAATCGCATCGTCGTGACGTCAAAAAGCCGAACCACTGACGCATCGATATTATGGAGCTATCGTATTTAATACTGTACAAATTCATAAGGAGTTCGGCTCCGACTGTGCGCCGCTTGCATCGTGAGGTCTTCCCTTCAATTGTCCCGTGACCAGATCAACGTTCATCGAGACTCCTTACGAGCTCGACCGGGCCAGAAGCTTCTCGAGTTCGCTCTTCCAAAGGTCAGCCATGATGTAGCTATCGTGGCCAGTAGTCTCGTTGCTTGCGGGAACGGTGACTGCACGGCCATATCCAGGCGTCATGTCGTTCGTGACACCATCCTCCAAGAATCCGAGTTCGATTGGGTTCAGCAAGTCATCCGCAGTATTAACGGCAGTCAAAGGAACCCGAATATTCTTAAGACCAGCTTTGGAATTATAGGTTTGAGATGCGTTCCAAGCATAGAGTTGATCATTGGCATCGAAGTCTTCAAGCCGAGGAATGATCTGTTCATCAACATACTTATCTATGGCTTCACGGGTCGGGAATGCTCGCTGCCAGTATGAAGGTGATGAAAGCAGCACAAGCTGAATCATCAGTGCACCACCAAGGCCAGCAGCTGGCTGCTTCTCATAATTACCGTTTTTCCACGCTGGATCAATGGTGACAAGCTCAGTGATGAACTTCCGAAAAAGACGATTATGTCCGGCTATCTCAACTGGAGAGGAAGAGATAGGCATCAAAGCATCCGAAAAACCCGGATACTCTCCACCCATCATCCAAGTATGCATGCCGCCCATGGAGACACCAAGTGTCAGACGGGATCGGTTGAGTTTGAAGTGCTCAGTTAAGAGAGCATGGTCGGCGCGGATCATGTCGGGATACTGATACTTCGGAAACGAGGCGCGAAGACCGGTGTTGCTAGGCTTGCTTGAGTTGCCGTGGCCGATCGCATCGCGCATGATGATGAAGTACTCATTGGCGTCGAGAGGTTGGCCTGGGTTGAAGAGAGCACCAGCGAACTCTTCGACAAGGAACTGAGCGCTGGAGCCGGTAGTACCATGAAGGAGAACAACTGCGTTGTTGGATCCGTCCGGATTGACTTTGAGCTTGCCGAGGGTCTGATAGCTGATGTTGAGGGAGTCGACGATCTCGCCAGAGTCAAAGGCGAAGTCTTCTATGGTGAAGCTTCCGCTAGTGGGATTTGGCCACGATGGCTTCGCGCCTATGACGGTTGAGAAGAGTCCCAGAGAGAGAATTGCTCTGGTCCAAGATTTCATGGTCGCGGTGGCAGTGATGCTGATGAGACAAGATGTCAGGATACAAGTTATTGTTGTCGGGATTTGAAGCTTGAGTACTACTGATGAGATGAGGATTGAATAGATGGTTCCAACTACGAGGACCTTATAAAGCTTATACACTGAACATCATAGGTACGATTGAAGTTGGCACTCATTCTGCGCATGATGATGAATGAGACATAAGCGAAAGCGAGCCTAGGGGTCACAATGCCCAAGTTCGCGAGTACACAACGATACAGCAGAGTAGGTCATAGCAGTGTTCAACGTTAAGACGGACTGTGAGAATGGACTTGAGGTCTCCCGCATGAAGACAGCCAGAAAGGATTGAGTGACCCGAATGCGAACTTGCAATGGCTGTGAGACCTCAATCTTGCATTCCATAGCCCTCTGTCCACTAAAGGCGTTAGGAATACTTCGCCAAGTCCATAGGGCCGGGAATTGAATGCGAAGTCCGTCGGTGCAGAATCATGATGATGGCTGAGCAGGCTGACGTCGTGAGATCATGTGACGTAAGCACCAAAAGATCTGGCTGCGGATCTGGGCAGAGGCTCAGGAGGGCGCCTTTGGCTCATTATTTGTTTATGATACGAAGTAGTTTCATAAAAGTCTTGTTCTGTCTCTATCTCTTGGCCAATGCAAGTGTAATGTAACATGAGGCTGTGCAAAGCTGATCTCAACCTTGATCCACCATCATGTCTATATGCTGACGGGCAAGATGACTCATTTCCAGCATGAGTCATCACGCTTGGCCTTATAATATCCTTTATGTGGGGAGTTCCTGGTGTAGTCAACTAGATACGAAAATAAGGAGACTTAGTATCAGTGTTGTTAACAGAACAACCGTCACAATGTGTATGCACGACCATCAAGAAGGTGCGGCATCAGAGCCGACGCCGGACCACGCAGAGCCATTTCCTTGGCATATAGGAGTCTTCGACGCTCACAATCACATTGGCGAACGCGTAAATTCGATATCGGAATTACCAAAGATGAAATCTCGGGCCGTAGCAATCATGGCAACGCGAACCGAAGATCAGCCTCTTATCACCTCGATCGCCAAAACACACGGAGTAAAAGGCCCGCAGTGCTTTGCCGAGAACATAACGACCGTCATCGCAGGTTACGGAAGACATCCGTGGTTCTCCCACGAACTATTTGACGATTCACTAGAGACTCCGACGTACGTGCCATCCGAAGACGTCGAGGCTGCGAAGGCGCAACACTACAGGGCAGTACTCTCACCAGCTCCAACGGATCTAGCTTTCTGGCGCGATCTCCCAGTACCAATTGCACTCTCGACTTTCATCGCTGAGACTAGAGCACGGTTGATCGAAGACCCGTATGCCATGGTCGGAGAGATTGGTCTTGATAAACCCTTCCGATTGCCTATTCAGTGGACGGATCCCAGACCAGAGCCTGATCCTGATCGGACACCTGGAGGTCGTCAGAGAAGACCACTCAGTCAGCATCGCATTAATATTGTTCATCAAAAGACTGTGTTCATGGCGCATCTCAGGCTAGCAGGGGAGTTTGGAAGACCCGTTAGTGTTCATGGCGTGCAAGTCCATGGGATTCTTTACAATGCGTTGACAGAGTCTTGGAAGGGTCATGAGCTGAAAGGCCGCCGCTCAAGAGACAAAGAGAAGAGGGAGGGACAAGCTGAGCAACGGGCAGGAGACGCTCGACAACCCTACCCTCCACGAATCTGCCTCCACTCCTTCAGCGGTAAATCCGACGCTGTCAAACAATATCTCAAGCCATCCATTCCAGCTAAGATCTTCTTCTCATTCTCAAAGACGAATAATATGAGATCGGATGAAGAGAGGAAAAAGGCGGAAGATGCGATAAGGATAGTGCCGGATAATCGGATACTGGTCGAGAGCGATCTCCATACAGCTGGTGAGAGGATGGATAGTGAACTTGAGGAGATGTACCGGGCCATTTGTGAAGTTAAGGCATGGGCTTTGGAAGAAGGTGTTGGGAAGATTGCGGAGAATTATCGGGAGTTTGTATTCGGTTGATGCACGATGGCATTGACATTTAACGTCAGCAAAAGCGAGGCCTGTATTGCTATGAGAACACCTGTTAAGAATCATTGTAAAAGCGTCAATTGAAAATTATGAAAGTTCTAAAAGTCCAGCTTGACCTGCAAGTCCCGCCAGGAAAGCCTATGCCATCGAATCCACGACGCACTGTTAAAGAATCGAAAAGGAAAGTACAAAAAATACAAATTTAGTCCATCACTTCTCAACATCCACTGTCTGGCTCTTCTTCTCCTGGTTCAGGTATGTTCCCAAAACCTCAATCAGAAACCTTTCTCGGTGCAACAAGTGTCTAGGTCCTTGCTTCTTCAAGAACCTCAACGCTGCAGCCAAAATAAGAGGATAATGTTCCTCCGGTAAATCTAGGATGCTAGCAACACTAACTTGTACTCGAAGTTCCTGTGCCTTGACGAATAAGTGGCCAATCTTTTTGTTGGCAACTAATCGCAGACTGAACTGCTCGAATAGGTCATGCTTGACAAACAACTCCAAGACATCCTGCAGCGTGACCTCCTCTCCAAAGATCTGATCAAGATCGACGCCAGCGCCGTCTTGAATGGTATGTCGTAGTTGACTAGTAGACTCAAGTGCCTCAGTGATGTTATCAACCGTCAACGGCGGTATAGCAGAAATGCAAGGTCGATCATATCCAACTCTATGTCGCCACCAAACGTTGCAAAAGATCGAAGTGACAATGACGGGAATGAGTATACAATAACCCCACCATCGCTCAGCCGTGATCATGGAACCAACTCCGCCAAGAACATTCGCGATACCGTTGAGGATGAAGAAGAGCTGGACGCTGAAACACCTCTGCTTCAAAAGCGGAAGTGATGTTGAGCCTTGGAGTTCTTTCTTTGCGACTGAGACGTGCGATCGCATTTTTGAGACAACCATGGAAGCCCAAATCGCACTGATGAGACCGAATAGCGCGATGGGAGCGTTGCCGAGATATCCGGAGAGGATGTTACTCGCATGCCAGACCTTTCTGTTTGCACCGCCAATAGCCATGTATGTACCAATGCTGATCAGCATCGCTCCCCCTCCCATCAACAAGTCCATCGCCCAACGATTAATAATCTCAATTCGTAACTCCCTTGTCGTGATCTCGATAAAAACATCAAGACCTCTCGAGTCCACTACTGCGGGTAGATTCTCCTTCTCCGTCTCAAGGTATTGCTTCTGCTGTCGCAAGAACTTGATATTGCTCCAAGCCTTTCGTGAATCGAAAAACGCGCAGATTGAGAGGACGAAGGCTGATGTTCCGCCGATTGCCATGAAGACTATGGCATAGATGGGGACGGGGACGTCGTTCCATACGTTGGCGGCAAAGTCGCCTGCGTTTGCGAGTTCGAGAAAACCGACGGCGGCGAAGAGATTGTTTCGGAGGCGGTTGTCGTCGATGCACGACCATTGGGAGCGCTGTTTGGCGAGGGTGACTGAGTCGGGGCCTGGAACGGATAGCTCGGTTGGGGGAAGATCGTGAGGCAGGGCTGGCTTTGGAGCAGTGCCGTACTGCTTCATCATAATCGGTGCGTCCATCGTGAGAGATCTAAGAAAGACTCTTCGCCTGTTAAGAACGTTCACATAATGCCTGGAGTAAAAACTTACGAATGAAGCTTGAGAAGCTGGTTATATACAGAGCACGGAGGTATCACATGGAAAGCCAAGAAACGCAAGACAACAAGAAAAGATCATTACAACGGTGAGTCACTGCAAAGTTCTCCCTTGGCAGAACAAAGAGAGATAATAAAAGGGAAGAAAAAAGAAAGCAAGAAAGTGGCTTCTTAATTTAGGAGACGTTACGTACGTAGAGTGACAGATGCTCGGGCCTTCCGAGCGCTTAGTCGCTGCCGGGCTCCACTCTGAGGGCCGTTGCAGCCGAAGCTTGGGGTATCCACGATTCGATCATCCCGCGAGGCGCAGCAACCCTGTTCACTGAAGGATAGCCCTACAATGACATTCAAGTTAAAAGACTCATATAAAAGAGACAGTATTGAGTAAATGCTATCTACTGAGCTTGTTAAGATATCGTTGAGACTAAAAATGGGTGAAGAAACAGAGCATCAGAGAGGAAATCATCACTTGGCACAGTGGAGATCACGGCATCTCCAAGCCGAAGGCCACGCAAGCCTTGGCGAATTTCCTTCTCAGCAAGGCACGCAAATCACTCCCGTCTCCAAGGGGTTAAGAGCAGCCTCAATTGGTTCCCACGGAAGATACCGTAGGGCCGAACCAACCACTAGACACCAGCACTAAATATAGCAAAACCTTATACGGCGCCACCAATTGAAACGTTGCACCTCTCACCTCTCACTAATAAGCATCCTGGCGTTTAGAATACTTGGGCCCCTCGACAACCTTCACAGGCTTTCGACCGGTTTGAACAGGCACACCAGCTGTCAAGGTCAGCCCATCGACGTTAGCGCTCTTCTTTAACGCCCAGAGTGCGATGCCGATCCAGTTATTACCCTTGTAGTTCAGAATCCCCTCCGGTACGGGGAAGGTTGTCTGGGGTCCTACGTTGGCGACGTATTTTCCGTACTGGAAACCGTTTACGTAGAGAATAGCGCGGTATGCACCTGTGCTGGAAGTGTTGTTCTTGAAGGTGAATGATAGAGGAACATCGTGTGTTGACGAAGGGAGGTTGAGGGGCAATTTGGCTGTAAAGAATGACACGCCGGGCTTGGAAAGGCCTTTGAAGGGGGAGCCCGGTTTGAAGGATGTTAGTGGAGGGGATGGGAGATGATAGCCTTGGCGCTCGAAGAAAAAGCCGCCTTCGTTAAGAGGACCACGGAACTTGTCCTTGTAATTCTCCCCACCGAGGTTACCCGTGATTTTCCACTTTGACACCTTTGTCTCCTTTCCAGAGTCTGAAGTAATGTGCCAGTCGAGAATTCCACGGGGCTGCTTTGTCTCATCGACGCCAGGGACCCAGTTTCCGTTCAGGCCCATGTTGTCTACGATGACTGTAATCACATGCTTCTTGCCCTTTGAGGTCTTGGGGAGTTTGTATGTTGATGTGTCATTGTTGTTGTTGCCCCCGCCTGTGACGGATCCGACGAACTTGTCGTCGAGCCAGACTGAGCTGCCGTAAGCGCGACCGCCGAATGTCCAGAGTTTGAGCTTGGATTCTGATCCGGATGCTGTGAAGTGGCCTCGGAAGATTAGGGCACCGGCGTGAAAGCCGTAGTCGCCGGAGTACAGGGAAACGGAGTTGTTGAGAGGCCACTTTGAGTTGAACGTCTTCTTGATATCTGCGGTGCGCCACTTCGAGTCGTCATAGTCCTTCTTCACTTCGGGGAGGCCATCGATGTAGTGCCAGTCCAATGACTTGAGATCTGGCACTTTGACCGAGGGAAGCTTGATTTCTGGGTTGACGAGCCAGTTCCCAAGCTTAGACTTTGTGAACGGCGTGTCCTTGCCGTTGATGGTCAGGCGAGAGGTTCCCTTTGGTGCACCGATGATTTCGACTGGTGTGGTGATGTTAAAGTCTGCCTGCACGGAAAGCTTGGAGCCGTCGACGGCAGCAGATCGAACAAGGTATGGCCCGTTGATAATGACGGCGTCGGGATTCATAACAGAGGATCCGTACTCCCCACTCTTCTTACTTGGCATAGTAGGCACCCAGTACTTGTACGCAGCATTGCGATCTAGCCATGTTAGTCTCCGTACCCAGCAGCATGATGTTAGAGGCTTACCTAAGAGGTAGATGTAAAGAGATCCAGCCTGCACAACACGACGCTTCGTGCTAGTCTTGAACTGAAACACCCCGGCGCCATTCTTCTTCTCAATCTTGACACCATCACCCTCGATAACCTTGATGTTCGTCTGTCCCTTGACAGCAACCTCATGAACTTCATCCGCACCACCATAAAGCACAAGAACAGTTTTATCCCCAAATTTCTTCCACGTAAACACTTCAGCAGTGCTATACAACAACTTATACTTGCCCACAGGATAATCCACAACATGAATCTTTGAATCTCGTCTATGCAGTGACAAAGATCCGCCGAGTTGAGGAATTGTCAAAGTTCCAGCTGATGTCTTGACTTTGAGTTTATAAGATGCTGAGCCTGTGGAGCGATAGTCTGCATGGCGAACGACGTAGAATGCATCGCCTTTCTTGGTGGTGAGTGCTGTAACGGCGATGTTCTTGTTGTCGGTGTACTTTGTGGTTGTGAAGTTGCTTGCCTCTGCGATGGCGTAGTTTGGTGAGACGCGGAGGAACTGGCCCTGGAGTTTTATCTCGGAGTATTTCTCGCGGGTGATCGTCCGGTCTTCCTTGATAGCCTTGAAGAGTATCCGTTCAGCACTCTGGTATTATTGTGAGGGGGGGAACCTACTGCTCCATAGTCGTAGGAGGTATAGCCATCAGAGTGGCCAAGGTTACCCCAGTTCGTGCCGCCCCAGGTCTGAACTGTTAGTCATGACCACGGTCAACTGAATGCGTATATATGACTTACCATGTAGATATTGAAGATGGTGACACCGGCGGCGAGGTTGTTCTTGTAGAAGATGCGAGCGAACTCATGGTTGGTGAGCTCATAGCAGTTGTCGAAGCCACCGCCACCAGGTGGATCAAAGCCTCCGCCCTGGAACTACAACCTGTCAGTTGCCATCTATTACACTAGTACTTTTGACTAACCTCAATGATTGAGTATGGAGTGTTGGGACTAATCTTCTCATGCTCCACGTGCCACGTGGTCGGAAGACCATCCTTGGGCCAGGTGTATGGGTTTGCCTACAATTGGTCAGCTCCCTTGTCATTGTGGGTGATTTACAGACTCACGCAGTCAAAACCAACTGGATATCCATCATGCCCCTGCCAAGGTTAGCACATATTGGCGCAGGTCCTCGTGCAAACTTACATAAATGTCGACGGCGCCAGGTCCCGTTCCAGGAGCTCCAGTACCTCCTTGCCAAGCATCATTGTTGATAAGCGGCACAACAACTCCAGCCTTGCGAACCTGATCGTTGACATATTTCAAGTAATCATGATTCGGGAAGGGCGTTCCCTGCGCAGTGCTGTACTCATTCTCCGGCTGGTACAGAATCACTGGTCCACCATTGGTGATTTGAGCTTTTGCGATGATCTTGGCGACATGAGCAACATAGCTAGACAGTGTCAGTACCGAGTCTCCATTGGATATCGAGTCACTTACTTATCTGTCGCCTCCAAATAATCCGTAGCATTTGTCCTCAAAAAACCCTTCACCCTCTGCAACCATCCCGGGAATCCACCCCCCGAAACCTCAGCATTGATATACGGCCCCGGTCTCGCAAGGAGATAAATCCCCGCCTCATGCGCCGCATCAATAAACGTTTGTAAATCTAACGCACCCTGTGATCTAAACTCTCCGGGCTTTCCTTCAAGAAGTGCCCAGTCGACGTAGAACGAAACCATGTTGAAGCCCATGGCTTTGACCTTTTGGAAGAGATCGGGGTAGAGTGTTGCGACGGGGAGACGGAACGGATGGATTTCGGCGGAGAAGATTGTCACACGCTCGCCGTGGATGAAGAGCGAGTGCTCGTCGAATGTTACTATGTCTTGCAGAAGGGCTCGGGAGTCGAGGATGTTGGATGGACGGGTTCCGCGAGGGAGAACATTCTGGGCATGAGTGTTAGCCGCAAGGGCTGCGACAAAGAAGTTTGACAACTTCATACTTGCTGCATACCCTCTCAATACCTCATAATAATCTCTGTAGAGCCCAACATCTTATATATCAATGCAAACAGGCTTCGATCTGCCCATGACGGATGGCCTCCCGAATATGCCGAACACCTGCAATCCGTATTGGTGGAGATGTATTATCTCCGTGTGAAATGCCGTCATGATCCTCCGACTGCCAGGGCCATCTCACGGGAGTTTGTAATTTATTCATAGTGATGGCGAGTTGCATGATTGAGGGGTTTGCAGGATAATTGGGGGTTGTGATTGGAGCTCTTACAGTGATCTGCGGGAGCCTTGGCATGGGCTATTTACCCCATGAATTACTACCTATTGCTGTACGCGGGTTCATGAATGAGGGGTATTATGATGCGATTGGGGTGATCATCGGATGGTTCCTTTGCATCCGTGGAGTAAGTAGTTAGCGCCGGTGGATGATCAAGGTGGGAAGCATGATGTACTATCGGGGAAGCCGGTCCGCAAAGTCAGTTAGACTCATATGAGCTACAATTTCGAAATAGTATGGACTTTCTATCTTATCTCTCCCTGTCGGCTATCATCCAATTACGCACCAAAAGCACTCATCAGCTTCTCATGCTCCTTCTTAGTAATAGGAATAACTGTTCCATGTCTCGGGCTCGTAGGAAGCTTATAGCTCGCCGAAACCTTCCAATTCGGCTTATCCAAATCGGTAGTCTCAAGGGGAACATAACCCTTACCACCATACTCATCTACAAAAAGATAGAACTTCTCGCCATTGGTATCACCAGCATTACCCTTGAAAGCAGTAGGACCCTCAACAGCCTGGAGACCAGCGTTCTTGCCAATGCATGTAGCTTGAACAGTCCATCCGTCAACGGGGGCGAGAAATTTGGAGGACTTCTCTTGGATGATGTCTGTGCAGCCGCTGGCTGATGCTTCGTCCTTTGTGAAGCGGTAGAATGAGTTACCGGACTTGAGAACGGTGGTGTCGATACGAGAGGTCTTGCTGTCCTGCCAGATCTCAGCCTTGGAGAAGGTGACGAAGTCGCGGGTGAGAGAGTAGAGCATGCGGTGGTAAGAGTTGTCAGAGTGATCAGCAGTGTTGTACAGTGACGAGGCCCAGAAAACAACGTATGACTGCTTCTCATCGTCCCAGAACGCCTCAGGCGCCCAGGTATTTCCAGCGTTATCGGGAGAAACCTTGACGTGTCGCTGCGCAGACCACGTAACAAGATCATCAGACTCCCAGATCTCAAGATACAAACTTCCCTTGCGGACTGCATCGCCCCAAGAAGTTCCACTTCCAATCGACAAATCCGTCGCAATCATAAAGAATTTATCCCCCTCAACAGATCGAATAACAAAAGGATCTCTCAACCCCTTCGTACCCAACTTCGACGTGATAACAGGCTGTCCGCCATTAAGCTCCTGCCAATCCAGTGCATTATTCCCTTTACTAGCCGCAAAGTAGATATTCTCCCCCTGCTTCGAATTACCCGTAAAGTACGAAAAAGCATACGCCTCATACGGATCTTGTTGAACGGCCTGACGAACAGAAGCGTTGAACTCGCGCTCGTGCAGTTGGCCGTCTACTTCGAGGGACGCGACGAGGAGAACGTCTGAGGTGGTGGGTTGACGCTTGACGAGACCATCGTGGCTGATGATGGAGGGATCGCTGCTGCGCCAGGTGATGGGGTGGCCGTTTGAGGTGGAGGGGAGGGTGATGTGGCTGCGGATGTCTTCGAGGTTGCGGACGTTGAGGGAGGTGAGGGCTTCGTGGGAGTGGATGCCTGTGGCGAGGGAGAGGAGGGCTAGGGAGAGGGATTGAAGACGGGGAAACATGGTGAAGAATGGCGATGGCCCTGTGTAGAGATGGGTGAGCCGTAAGGATGTTTACTGAGAGCAATGTTCGTGATACCGTCGTCCTTTAAATACACCGCAAATCTTTCCAGACTAAACAATCTTGGCTCCCTCACGATCTCCACGATGTCCTCGAATACCTGAATTAGTCCACGGACCTCTCATCAATCATTCCCATTCTGTCACTTGGCAAGTCATTCACAACTTTTCTTTGCGACGTCATTCGGTAGTTATTACCCCGGATCGTCCCTTTTCATCCCTTCTGGGGTAGCAAACCGACCCCTGCAGATATTTCGTTGCACGCACCATGAATTTAGGTTATACTCCGCATAAACGCCGTGCTTTTATTCGCGCGCAAAAAATGTAGTGGAGAAGAGATTATCTGGTTCACAATACGAAGCATCATGTGCGCTGGTGATCATTACTGGATAAGTAAGGTGGTCGATTGTTTTTGGCAGTGGATTGGGGACCTCGGGAGTTGAGCGGTTTACCCCAGATGCGCCATGTGTAATGCTGGGGATGGTGTTTTTCGGGGTAGGGTTTTGTGTACGTATGCATAGCGATATGCATAATTGATGGGTGTGATGGCGCGTAAAGATCTTTAGCTCAGAGGCGCGTTACTCAACTCGCGGGGATACCGGTGCCGGTCTTGTCAAAAGCGAATGCGCCGGTCAAGCAGCGACCTCCGGTAAACTTCAAGATGCTAATGAGCTTCGAGTTCACATTCTGAAGAATTTTTCCTTAGGTTGATCTGCTTGTTGGTAGCTTCCACATATGGTCGTCGGTGCTGCTATACGCGAAACTGTAGGGTATGTCAAATTGACACGAAAGATTTTCAAGAGTTTCGTCCATGAGATCGCTTTGTCACTTTTATATAATGCTTTTGCTCATAAGATAATACTAGATGTTCAAAAAGATACCGAGAGGTTCTATCAATACCAAGCTTCTTATCAGTGCTGTTTTTGATAAGCTGAGTTGCATTAATTAGATGGTAAGATTTCAATCTGGTCGAATAGAGATGTCCATTGGCCGGCTTTGAGATTGAATTACCAGTCATTCTTCTTTTCTTTCTCAAGCGAGGAACTACTTGCCTCGCACAAGCAGTGGATGAGCCTCCGTGTTAAGCACATACTTCATCTTCCCATCACTCCTAACCTGCAACTCCGAATCCTCCGCAAACATCAAATACAAATACTTCAGTGTCTCCGCCAACCAAAAGCTCTCCATCTTATCCACAAACTTCCTCGTCTTATCATCCTTTGTCTTCATAACACTCTTCAAGCCCGTATATCCTCCCTCAACCTTACACATTCTATTCAAAGCCTCGAACGCCTCCCAAGCCCACTCCTGGTACTTGCGATCTCCAGTAGCGCGATAGGCGTAGTACAGACTTTCGATGGTTTCAGGGCGGAGGATGTATTCGGCGTTGGTATGGTAGTATCCGCTCTTCTCGTAAAAGGATTGCCATTTTGGAGCGGGGAGACGTTTGGATGATGCTTTTGCGAGGGGTTGGCGACCGTCATCGACCCAGCGAAAGAGCTCGGGACCGATACCGCTTGGACTTTGACGGTAGACTTCATAGTATGACTCTGAGAGTTTGACGCCAAAGTCAACAAAGGTTTGGTTCTGCAGAAGAAGCCCGCCCAGGATCAGCGAGCCGCCGCAAACGCTTGCCACTGTTGAGGTTAGCATATCCTTGCAGTCAAATCAGTGATGCAAGTAGCTTACAGTGACTAGAGATGGGAATCATGGTATCACCGCGCATCTCCCCCAGGAACGTCAGGTCGGGCCTAGTCGACGGTGAAGAAGCCAGATACAGCATCGACGACTCAGCTGCCTTGATCCAGCTCTCTCCATACTCAGCAAAAGCGACTGGATCGTATGCATACATCTTGATAAGATACTCGTAGTAGCTATCGGAGCCACCGCCCCAGCCAGCTTGGTAGTCTCCAAAATATCCATCCTTGAGCTTGACATATGTTCCGATGAGACCTGGAAGTGTAAAACTTTGCTTCGTCTTGGGATGAATTAAATGATCCTGGGCTCTCTGCGCAAGCTTCGCATAGGTCTGGTTGCCAGTCAAATCACTTAATCGAGTCCATTCGAGAACAAGTGTGCCAAAGCAGGTGATAGAGTTGTCAATGTTGCCGAAGCGGCGGAGCGTAGGATTAAAAATGATCTCATCGTCTGGAATACCGGACGGCGTATCAAATGCAATGCTGAGTCTGTCGGCGAGGATAACAGCTGTTTTAAGCAAGTTGTTCCTTAGATAGATGTCCGTGGCCAGATGCTTATATGACCCAGACAGCAGGTCATAAGCTAGAGGCAGGGTCAGTAGGATCATCAGGTCGCAAGCTTTCTGGATGCATACCGGATAAAAGACCCCCAAGATAGCGAATAGTCGTTTCGAAAAGTGAGATCGGTTGATCAGGTACAATAGTTGCAGTGAAATCTGTGAGCATGATCTGTCGTAGGATCTTATCCACGATCTCTGCGTCCTCCATGATGATAGCCGTGCTCAAGCCATCAACTGCTGTCGCTCCCCAGCCATTTCTATCACAAGTCAATAACTTGAAATACTAATCAAGGTTCGTGAACTTACCGATCATCCTCATATGTCTTGCTGATCGGCAATAACGTATCATGAGGCGCAGCAAATTGCTCGTACTTATCCCACGAAAACCGAAACGCCTCGACAATTCTTGCGGCTCTTTGCGGGTCACCTTTTAGCTTAGCGGATGACTCCTGTGAAGCTGCCTTTGAGTAGCCATTTCGCGAGGCACGTCCTGAGAAGAAAAGTGAGAAGACATGGTATGCGACGAAGATGGCGCCCAGCCAAACGATGAGTTTCTGGACAGATCTCTGCATTCTTGTCCACCACCAGCGCGAACCCAAGTGTGGATAGAGACGAGAAGCAAAGGTAAGAAGAGAGGATAAAAGAGCGAAATGGAAATTGAACCACTCAATTGATCGCCAGGCCGGTGTCAGCGTTGGTAGAAAAGCTGGAGATTTCCCCTGAATGAATCTTATCGGTTATCGTCCCAATTTTCAGCTTAGGGGCTGATCCTTATCAAAGCCTCCGTCAGCGCCGCACCTGAGGCCCTAAAATTGGTCAAGCGCCATCAATAAGGTCCTTAGCGCTGAGCTGTCCCCTGGAAATTTATTGAAACTATCGATTTTAGCTGACCACTGCAGCAAATGACAGCTTGACCAACGATGCGCTAGCCGAAGATGACTTGTTCTTAAGATCTTTCAGGCTAGAGTCACTAAACTATTGTTTCGTCTGCAAGGTACCCTTCGCCAAAATGTTTACATTTGTCGATTATTTATTGTCTTGGCAGGTAATGTGCCTCACGTCATGTGGGAGGCCGGAGCTAAAGCCCAGTCCGGTCCAATTCTTAAAATGTAGTCTCCTTTTCGAGAAGAACTTTCTTCCTCTCTTCAACGTTTGCCGTTCGTACACTCGTTTATACTACAGCGCTACCATTACTCTCGTTGATATTCAGGATGCGTTGGATTTCTATCATCGCTTTTCTCGGCGCTGTTGCTAGCGCTCGTCCGCTGTGCCGCCCGGATCGATCTACTACGACTGGTCTGCCCTCTGCGACTGCGACTACGAGCGTTGAGACTTTGAGCACTGACTCTGCGACTGCTACTGAGACCTCGGCGACTGAGACTGCCGTTACTTCCGCGACTACCTTCACTGAATCGGAGACTGCTACTACTACTACGTGGTTCACTACTGTTACTACTGCGGTTACCAGTGAAGCAGCGACTACGACCACTGAGGCCCCCGAGGCTACCAATTACATCCAGAACGGTGGCTTTGAGGATAGCCCCAACACTGACTGGAGTGTTCGAACCAGCGATATCAAGAATGACTCTAAACGAGCTCGCTCCGGCAACAAATACGTGTAAGTCACCCACATGATCCATCCCAGGACATCACCAACAAGAAGCAGTCAATACGATGTGGATGACTCCGAAGCCGTCGGCGGCAATCAACTGAACCAAACCGTCAACGGTCTCGACACCGAGCGACTCTACCGTCTCACAGCCTACGCCACAGTCTTCAACACTCCAGCGCCTCTTAAAGACGCAAACACCGTCTGCGTCATTGAAGTTCTGCAAGAGAGCTCGAGCATAGCTCAGTGGTTGCTTGACTTTGAAAATCTGGGCACATACAAGCAGTATTTCGTCGACTTCACGCCATCTGATGACGATGTTACTGTTACAATGAGGCTCCGGTGCAGCAATGGAAAGAAGGTTACCTTGTCTGTTGGTCTGGATGATGTTTCCTTGTATGACATTGGTCCTAAGCTTGTTGGCTAAGCTACTACTCTATCCCATCAGTATGGCAAGACCTGGGCATCCCATTCATAGGAAGTATCAAGAAAACCAAGTTGAGCCTCGATCCTGTGTGAGTAGGTTGCCAAGGGGTCTTGCCATGGTATCTATTATTCTTCGACATGGCAGAAATCACTTTACATATTTATGGCCATTAATCTTACATATTCTGTCACTATCCTGTGTGTAGGATATTTTACAAAACTTGAAGTTGCCATGGGCCGTCGAGACACATGCGCCACTCGCAGTAGAGATCGTAGACACGGTAAAGAAATATCCATCAGACTCAATTTGTTCTGCTACTCAGTCTTCGCCTTCCAAGCCCAGAATGTTGCCAACCTCCGAGCATCCTGCTAAGCTACCACACTCAAATCGAACCCTTCTTACAGCTTCTGACCAGCGGTACCAGGAATAGTAGAAGCAACCTTTCCTGATCCCAAGAGCGTAACCTTGTAAGGAAGCGAAGCAGAAGTGAGAGTACCCTTAGGAGCAGAGTTAACCGAACCACCAAGATCAACATCCTCAACAACAGCATAGCCAGTCTCCTTGGAATCAGCAAAGAAAATAGCTCGCTCAACAGAGTTGGCGAAAGCAGAGCTCTGGACGAGAACTTGAGCGCCCATGCGGGTGTTGACACCAGAGAGAAGAATGCCGTCCCAGTAGTTGTTGACGATGTGCACGGTAGCGAAGCGGATGAGGGGCTGGCGGCTGCTGACGTTCTTCCAGTAGTTGTTGGCGTAGGTGATGTGGAGCTTGCCCTTGTCCTCTGAGGCGTTACTATCGGAGTGGCCGATCAGAGAGCCCTTCCACTGAAGTCGAGGGTCAGTAACAACGATGTCTGGCTGGGAGGCAGAGTTAACTTACGTGATCGTGGAAGTAGGTGTTGGAGACAGTGATCCAATCAGCACCATGGGAAATGTCAACAAGACCATCAAGATCATCCTTTCCAAGACTCAAGTCACCGGACAAATCGCAGTGGTCAACCCACACGTTGGTAGACTCATCGATACCAATAGCATCGCCGTTGGAAGCATCAACCTTGGCGATCTTGAGGTTTCGAAGAATGACGTTCTTCTGGCGACGAACATAGAAGCCAACACCAGTAATTGCTACAATAATCAGTCTAAACTACTCCATTAACATGAGGGTTGACTTACAGCTTCCAGCAGCACCGATAATAGTCTTATCAGATGCAGGCCGAACTTTATCGCTGCCTGTTAACTTGCCAGAGACGATAATGGTCAGAGGCTCAGTGCGCTTAGCAGCTTCAATGAGAGCGGCGACTGTGGTCACAGTGACAGTCGAGCCCTTGGCACCGCCAGTGGTACCGCCGTTCTGGGTGCAGTATCCGACGGTACAAGGCTCCGCAGCTTGGCGCTTGAGGAGGGCATCGCGGCTCTCAAGTGGAGAGGCGAGTGCCAAGGTGGCGAAGAGGGTGGTAATGGCTGAAGTGAACTTCATGATGCTGATGATTGTGTAAGTCAGAGGTGATCAGTTGAAGAAAGCCAAAGCTTGATGGTTTCAACAATTTAGGTATTATTATCGCGAAGTTTCACGAGGTCTTTATAGAAGTTCATCGCTCTCATCAAGTTACAGTACTACTATTCCAACTGGTAGCACGCAAGACACCAATCCCCAATTCAGCATTCGGACCCCGGAGTCTATGGCTTCAATTTCCCTTTCTGGAGATGGCATCACGAGCCTCACAGCGTCTATTGGAGTAATAGTCTATCTTCTTGAGTATAGAACCTTACACTGTGGAAGTATGTGAAACATTCAAGTTTGGATGATCTTGCGTTCGGAAAAGATCGATGTCATGGTTGGCTATTATTGGTGGAATTGGTTGGGCTGAGGCGCCGTGGTTGGTGGATGATCTGGAAATACCCCGGATTGTGACGATCTCTCGTCCACCGTCATTACCGGCAGTGACCTGTGATCTGGGGTAACGACGAGAGGAAACCCTTAGCGGTCAAGAAATATCCCTCTCGACAATTCAACCCTTCATCAATAGAGCTTTGAGTTATTAGAACCCGTTATTGACTCCTCTCTCTACTGATTGACCGTTGATATCGAGCGGCCGGCTAAACACCGATCTGACATCTACAGATTATCCCAGCTTAACGTTAACGTAGTTATGCATAAACCCCTTCTCCGAAGCTCGATGATCAGACCAAACCCGTATCTACCCCAACGTTTCGAACGCAGACTGTGGGGGCGTGAGGTCCCATCGGTCATAAAATCATGCAAGGGCTTTTTCCATCTGCACGGAAAAGGCGAGTGACAGACGAGTCCCCCAATGTCTGAGATGTTCCTCGAATCATGCCAAAGAGCAGTTAGGGCTCTTTGTTGGCATACTACTGCTTTGAATTGTCGGTGTTATGCGTATTTGGGGGTCATTCCGGGTTTACTATTAACAAGCAATCAACGTACCGTGATCACGAAAGATCTCTACCGCTGCAACTATCACCCGAATCACCGAGACCGTAACCTCACAGTCCCGAAAGCTGCAGAAAATGATCGTTGGATACATATTCGCTGACATGGAGTCGAAGAAAGAATATGTATCAAACTCTCACTGATTCACTGGATGATCTCGTGGTAGGTTTTTTCAAGAACATCAAATCTTCTTACCCGTTCAGATTTAGTCGGGCATACAAGATGAATCCCCCAATGCTCAAATGATAGTCGAGCCTTTGGCGACTACTTCAGGATCACTCACGTGTTCATAGGCTTAAGGCTCTCCCACTATACTCCTAACTTGTCTACACAAGCTCCTTAGTCCCCTCAACGCAGGCCCATCAATCGGGTTACCACCCGAGCCACATACCTAGGAACTCATAATTGGACATAGCTAAATATTGAGATACTGGGGCGCAGAGGCAGACTAGCCAAGCCTGGTGCAGACATATATCAGAATAATGATAAGCTATCGAGGCGAAAGCGATTCAGACCAATCGGTTCACAGCCTCTCCTGTCAATCAGTAGATCTGATCTGCGGAGGGCAATGTAAGATTAATTGGTACCAATGTGATAAAGAATCTGAAGGAGATCATGACCTGTTCAGGGCGAACGTTCGGCGAGATACTTGCCTACGTGAAGCTGAATAGAATATCAGGGACTTCAGATTCGCAAGTTAATGAATATATCATTTTGATATCTCCACGGATGGCCCCGCGTGGAAGCTGTGAAGGAAGGGAGCAGAAGCGCCTCCCTCACTATAGATAATCCGGAAATTTCTGGTTTGAATGGACTACTGCGGCTTGTTGCGTATTATCCTCTATATAATAGGACCCCTCTACTTCAGAAGCATACAGTAAGTAGAAGAGGAGGATATCGTTCAAGTTTGGGGGTCAGCCAAGCCCCGCAAATGCAAGCTTTCAACAGGATTGAGTACCACGAGATCCCCCACAAATGCTTAATTGAATCAGCTCAGACTTTCTAACAAGGATCCTAGGTAATATGGACTAAGTAGCGGGAGCCAAAATTATAGTTAATCATGCCCTGCGGTCTTAGTGAGGTCT